ACTTGTGCCTAATACAAGTTTATGACTTTCTCCCTCATAAATTTAATCCATGCTCAACTGTTTTTATTTCTAGGTCATATAATCCTTTATAGGGTAACAAGTACTATAATTTTACTACCCACTGTGTAAAATAACTCCTTCTTCTTATTTGTCTCTCTTGGCTTCAAGAGATCCTCATTAACTCTAGTACTGATGATCAAATCTTTGTTTATCTACAAATATAACTTCAGTTATTTCTCCTTTAAGGGTTTTCATAGACTCAAATGACTTAAGTTTTTAGCCTGTTTATAAATAGTTACATATATAAACAAAAACAATTCAGCTAAATTATTTTGCATTAATCTGATAAAAAAGAGAAACAGCAGAAAGTCAAGACAGTAACTGCTTTTACTGACTATCTATTTGCATCTCTTTCTCTCCACTGTAAACTCCTTGACAGAGGCTTTTTTCATTTTTTTTCATTCCCCAGCACAGTGGCTCTCAAACATCAGTGTGCAGCTGGATCAGATGGAGGGAGGGCTTGTTCAAACTGATGGCTGAGCCTCGCCCCCCGAGTTCTCATTCAGTAAGTCTGGGGCGGAGTCTGTGGATTTGCATGTCGAGTAAGTTCCCAGGTGAGGACGCTGCTGCTGCTGCTGGTCTGGGAACCTCTGCCTCACCACCAGCTCAACACTTTGCTCTCTCAAGATGCTGATTCGAAGTGACCCAGTTGGGGGAGAGGCCTTCGTTCGACAAAGAGGTAGAGATGAGTGTGTTAGCTGGGATGGTAACAAAGAGATCCCAAGATAGAGATGCTTAGATATGATAAAAGTGTATTTCTCACAAAACGGTCCTGAGGTAGGTGGGCAGTTCCAGGACAGGAGGGACAAGGGGGCGGAGAGCGGGCAGGAGCGATGCACAGTGGCAGTTCCTGTGGGGAGGAAGTGAGTGCACTGAGGCTCAGACACGGTACGAGCCCGTGGAGGCGGCTTCCACGGGCTGCGCTGGTGCTGGATGTCAAGGGAGACGAAGGAAGAGAGAAACAAAACTCCCACGGGCGTCGGGCAAGATCTCGACCCCGGCAGGGCTGGGAGTTACGAAGCACCGAGACAGAAGGAGTGTAAAGCTGCCAAGGTCTCGGGAGAAGGTGCGTTTTGTTTGTTTGTTTCTCTAGAAACTAAGTAGGGAAGAGGAGCGGCAGCAGGAGCTGGATGGGCATCCGCTTAGTTACGGGGACGGGGCAGGAGATGCTGAGAGCACATGCCCGTTATGCACAACTGTGGGGACACTAATCCCCGGCGAATCCTGTCCTTGTACTCAGCTTGCAGGAGCCCTAAAGATGAGTAGAAAATAAGAAGAAGAAAAGGCAGGCACAAAAACAATGGAAGAAAAACAACTGACTGAGGAACTGGAAATCCTCAGAAATTCCATTTGTTAATTCCCAGGAGAGGATTCCATCGCAAAACAACGTCGGGACTTCGAATTCCCACGAGTACTCACCTCCCCTGCTAGTCCAAGGACTTCCTTCTGGAAAACCGCTAAGGAATAACACCCTTCTTGCTCGCTGGCTGTCTGGCTCTCGGTGGGATACTTCTCTTCCCAGGTCTGGTACCCACGGTCACGTCTAGACAAGCCGCCCAGTGCTTTGTTTCCTTAAATCATCACGGGAGCCCCTCTTTTTTGCGGGGTGGGGAAGGCTACTGCAAACTCAGGGAACTCTCTGGATAACCTGTTTACTTGAACTGACCATTGCTCCCAACGGGCTTCGCTGTGGGCCGGGCTGGCGTGGGGACACGTGGCAGGCATGGGCGCTTCTTCATCCCACGTTCACAGATAGGACGTGGGTCGTGCGTGGCTTTCTTCCCGAGAGGAGTCTGTATTTTAAAATCATCTTGGAGAAAGGAATTAAGGTGGATATGACGAGTAAGACAGCGACTATGTAAAATCAGATCAGTTTATTCTAAATAGAATCATATAGGCATATCATCTGCTTTCCAGAAACTTTTAGAAAACAGTGGCTTACTGCACACGTGTGTGGGTAGGAGTGGGGAGGGGGTGTTAAAAACAAAAAAACAAAAAAACAAAAAACGAGTTTGCATGCCACAGAGCCAGCGCGGTTATATCGAATGCTAAATATCCTTCTTGTTTGAGAACCATTGAGTGTGACGTTTAGAAGCCATATACCAAGTAATTAAGAGCTAACGCCACCGTCGATGTACCCAGGAGAGGCACAGGGCTCAGAACACTTCTGCTCTGGTTCGTATTCTGCCTCCCGGTGGCTTTCCATGTTTACCTCCACGTGGACAAGGGGCCCGAGGGTGGACACTGTGTCTCATTTCTAATTCTTGGTGCTTAGGTGGCGCCAACAAACCAGGCGCTCTACGAATGCTTATTCATTGGCTATATTAGGTTGACCCGCATGGAAATGTCAGTTTGGTTGGTAAAACATAATAATCAAACCTTGGTAATTTCGCACGGTTTAGTCTAATATTTCCACCCTCGTTTTGCTTACATGGTCCATGGATTTGCTTTTCTCTAAATGTTTTCAGAGCCGTGTCCTAGTTTCTCATCAGTTTCTCTCTTATCCTGTATCATATTCTTTTCCTAAACATCTCGGTTCATCACTCGTTCCCATGCTCACCCGGCATTTATTTGCTAGCTAGTATCTCCTCTACATAACGGGCACATTCTATTGCCCCTGTGCCTTTTACGAAATAGGCCCTACATAAACATTTCCATAATGCTGAATTACGTGTCTAAGGACAAGTCACTAACGCTCTGAAATCCAGTTGCCTTCCTGGAGAAAGAAGATAATCCCTCGCCGATATAACAGAATTGTTGAAAGTTAACCTACGAGGGCTTAAAGTGATTAACGGTAAAGCCTCGGGCTGCTCTGCCAGTGGGCGTGTTTGAAAATGTGCCGAGCCAGTGACAGGCAACCCATTTCCAGCTCGATTTTAGGGAGGAATGGGCTCTTTTAAAGAAATTTCAGAAGACCCATCCGGTTGGCAGTGAAAACAGGATGTTGATCACACAAGGAGAACACACTGTCCGTGAAAACAGACACTAGGTCACCATGTGAAAAAGAAAAACCAAGAGCTGCCCCATGGCACAGTCACTCCCTTTCACCAGTAACACGGGCTCACGGCGCTTGACAGTGAGCTGGAGGCAAACGAAGGCTGCGGGAGAAAGCAACCCGGAGCCTGTGCCGTGTGCACGAGTGAAGAACTTTTGTAGAATTATTATAGGAGCACCGGAGTGAGAAGGGAGGCAGGGGGAGGTGCGAGGGCTGAGATCACGGGACAGAGAGGGGGCCACAAGTCCTGAGAGGAGACTACAGACCAGTCGAGCGGGCGCGGGCCTTTCCCTTGGGCACACCGGTTATGGGGTACCTCTGGGTTCCGAACTAGGAGCCACCAGAGACTGACACCAAATGTACGACCTTAGGCGCACTGCTGAAGTTTTGTTTACATATCTGAAAAAGTAGCACTGAGAGCTCCCATCTTACGAGGGTAATGTAAGCATTAAATGAGATACTGCATGTAAATACTCAAAGCGTCCGGCATATAGCAAGTGTATTATACATGCTAGGTTGTGTTATCTAAGTATTGTTTGGGAAACTGCATGGTCTGTCAGTCTCAAGAATCTTTTTACTGCCTTCTTGAATTCTCCAGTCGAAGCAACCCTCCAGGGCGAGTCCTCAACTGGACATGATGCTGGACATACTCCCTACCTGCACTGTCCCGTACGCTAGCCTTTAGCCCCTGGGGCTACTGGGCACTTGACACTGCTGCCAAGGAAGTGTATTATTCACTTGTTTACTTCTAATGCATTTAAATTTAAATAGATGCATACTGTGGTGGGCAGTGCCACCTTCGAGCCCTGGACCCCAAACACACCAGAAGACACTGTGCAGAAGCCACTGTGGCCTCGTGGGCTGTAGGTCAGACGACCCGACTCTACCTTTCAGAAGCTGAACTGTATTAGACAAGTGACTCAGCCTCCTACGCACGGCTTCATCCTTAGTAATATAGGATCTAGAATAGTATCACTTTACTGGGTTATGAGGATTAAATGAGAGACTATATGTGAAGCAGGGGTTCTCAAAGTTAGCGCGCATCAGAATCACCTGGAAGGCTGTTATAACACAGATTGCTGGTTCATCCCCCCAATTTTGAGGCAGTAGGCTGGGGTGAGAGCCAGACAATTTGCATTCTTAATGAGTTCCCAGGGGGCATGTCTGAGGGCCACACTTGGAAAAACAGTGTTATAAAACATTTAATACGGCGCCTGATAACACTGTCAGTTATTGTTTTATGGTTAGCATCTTCATGGTCTGCATCAGAAGGTTTCTGAAAAACTAGCAAACCCCACACTTTATTAGGAGTCTCTAGGCCACTTTCTGACATTATTTTGATAAACATTTATGAGGCACCTACAAAGGGCACGATACCCCCACTGTGTTCCTTCCGAGTGACAGTCCTTCGAGGCAGGTTTGGAGCAGGACTTGTCAGTCGGTGGAGCTACAGAGCGCCGAGTTACCTGACCATGATTACTAGCTTCCGAAATGTTTTTCATCATTTCAACTCTCCACAAAACATACAGAAAATAACAATTAAAACCACCTTTTGAGGTGAGCCACAAGTCACGTTTCTCCTCCCTTTTCGTCTTGATCAAGATTGTGCCGAGGCACAGTTAAGTGGTAACTGGAAGGGATGTGAAGATAGATCTAGGCTCCAAGGTTGGCTCTTTTCTCAGCTTCCCAAGACCACTGGGCACATCTCTCCATCATTATCAGCTGAGTTTGAACTTGAAGAGCCCTCGGTCACTTTCAAAGAGTCACAGCAACAGGATGCTCACAAGCCCAACCTCACCTGTGTGGGGTTTTGCTCCTCAGAAGTTATCACAAGTCGTCTGGTTTTTCTTCTCTGAGATTCTTTCCATGCTGCCTTTAATCCTATGGATAAAAGGTGTGGTAAGGGCGGGGGGAGGAAACAGACAGACAGACAGACAGACAGACAATGGTTTGATAGATCAATCTTTAATTTTGTCATTTTCCAGTATTCATGATAGATTTCCTTTGAAAGGGAAAAAAAAGTCTTGGAAGAAATATGCCCAAAGAGGCTCTAAGACTATCGATACTCCATTCCAAGAAAAGATCCCAAAAGGGGTCTTTTAATTTGGATCCTGGGATAGTGTTTTGTGCATTTATATCTGTTGATATAAAGCCCACTCAACTTCTTCAACACGAGTAAAACACGAGTAAAAATTCTTTGCCCCAACATACCAGTCCCTTATGCATAAATGATGACCATTATACTCGTTGGCAAAAAAATCATAAGCAATTTCCGTTACAAACTCAATCTTGCTAACAGATCCTGGTAAGTCATGGTGACCTCTTCCATTTTCAGGTGTGGGAGAGGGAAGTGCAGAGAAGCCAGGTTTCAGAGTGACTTGTTAGTACTGAGAGAGGCCGAGGGAGGGGTGGGATGAGAAGCTTCCACTCGCTGGGGAAATGTGATCTGTCGGCTCACTACTGCCCTACGTAGTCTACGTAGGCAGAGTCTACTCAAAGGACCTGCACTAAGCATGGGAGACAGAACTTGGGACCTGCCTTGGGGATTCTGAGTAGTAAATGGGACCAGATTTAAAGCAGGCAGCTCCTGGTTGGGTTGCTGATATAAACAGTATCAGCAGGTCGAGTCTTCTGTTTCTAGCTCCCACCTGCAAAACAAGTATGTTTGGAGTCTCAAACACACAGCCTCTCAGGGTTTCGTGCTGATGACGAAAGCGCTGCCTTTAGGAATAGGGTTTTGCTCTTGGATTTGCTTCTCACGTACTGCGTAATATCGTCCAAGCTGACTGCGCCCTCTGAGGTTCCTTTCTCAGGGGTAAAATGGCAACTCCTCTCCTCTATATTGCTCAGAGGGTTGGTGACATTGAACTGACAGAAAAGTGGAAGGAAGCACTAAGGAACATAATCCAGGACATTGGGCTCCTGAACGATAAATAAATCAAGTTGGAATAATGCAACCTTCTCAGAAGATTATATCATGTATCTCTGAATTAAACAAACAAACAAACAAACAAACAAAACTTGCTGGAACAATCGATGTGGTCTCCTGGGAAACAAGTTAGCTTAAATATGTTAAGGCAGGCACCGTCTCAATGACAAATGAACTATAATAAAAAACTCGTTTTTTTATGAGATCAGAATACAAATGGACCAAATGGCCTCCCAAGGATTCTAAGACCTCTACATATTACTACAAAAGGGTTGGGATAGATAGAGTGACCACCTGTGACAGTGCACGCTTAAGAGAGACACAAGCGACACCCCGTTTTCCAAATTACCGCTCACCTCAATCACATCCACGGAGATAAATTCAGGCCAAGGAGTGGTCTCAAAAATTGAGGGTTCAGATAGCTATAACTTCTTGTTTTTTTGTTTTTTTTTTCTGGCCACAGCATTTTGCCAGTGAGATTTGGCGCTTTGCTCTATTTGAAGGCTGCGACGTATTATTCATCAAATGAAGCCAATCATCAAGTATACCAAATTAAATGTCCCAAAACTACAGGGGTTTTTTGTTTTGTTTTGTTTTTTTTGCTTGTGAGGAAAGCTGCCTTTATCGGAGTGTCCAGATCACAAAACGCAAAAGCCTTTTTGTGATGGCTGAAAGTCCTACAGGAAGCCCACCAACTTCTTCACCTCCTGGCACACGGGATATGCTATGTCCTTGGCTTTCGCTGACCCGACTTGTAAAACCTTCTCCAAGTGTTCCCTGTCCAGCTTCAGTTTTTCAATTTCACTCTTAATGGGGGCGAATTTCTCGATCACGGCATCCGCCACCACCAGCTTGTAGCGCGCAGTGTCGATGCCCGCGCTTCGGCGGACCACCTCCGCCACAGGGAGTCCTGTCACCGCCGAGTGAATGGCCACCATGTTGGCGACACCCGCGCGGCTGGCCGGCTCGTAGGTGACCTCCGAGGTGAAGTCCGTCACGGCCTTGCGGAATTTCTGCACGATCTCCTCCGGGCTGTCTGTTATCCTGACGGTGGCCAGCTTGTCCGGGTCTGATTTGGACATTTTGGCAGAAGGATCACGGAGAGATTTCACCTTCTTCATCGACGCTACGTAAGAACACCAACACGCACGTTCCCCAAACAAAAAAAAAAATAAAACAATTACGACATTAAAAAATCACCAGGAACGTCAGTGTCTAGATCTTAAAAAAAAAAATGCCAAGAATACGAAGCGATTTTATTATTTTTATCTGGTTGTATAAAATATCAAATACGGATGGTGAAAAATTCAGGCAATTTATGTAAACATTAAAGATCATCTGAAATGTGTACATTTTTGTTGAAAATATTATCATGCAGTTTGGAATGCATATATACACACAAAAATGTACAGCTTATACAGATGAAATTTTATCAATCGCATTGTTTCTGCTGGGTACACTTTTTAAAAAAGGATTGTCTATTTCTTTCCTGCCCCTCTCTCTTCCTCTCTGGGCTTCTCTACCAGCCAATTACCCCTCCCCACAAGCTCTGCCCTTCCTGTCTCCAAACCAGTTTGAACAATCTATGGCAATCCTTCCAATTCTTCACCCACAATTATATAAGCATATGCCAACACACACACACACACACACACACACGCACACACACACACACACGCACATGGGAGAGGCTTGTTTATTACTCTGATAGAATCAAGATGTTAAGCTGTGCTTCATAAACCAGCGTTACTAATCATTGCCTATTTTATGGCTATTTCAGAAGCATATAAAGTTGAAATAAGTCAAATAATATTAATAGGCCGCAACATTAAAATGTTCCTTATTGTCTAAAAGAAGGTGGATTTCAGCGCATTGGGTGCCCTGAGTTTCTCTGTGGGAACTGTTGGAATAACTTAGAAATTTATACCCGCCCTGTGTTTCTAAAATGACACGAGGCACGTCTTAGACGCCTTTAAAGTGCTGTGGGTTTGACAAAGACGCACAGGGCTTAGGTTCAGTGATTTCTGCCTTTCCAACAGCTACAGAAATGCGGATCCAGATTTACAGCTTCTTTCCTCGAGAAGATTTCAGACTAGCACAGCCTCGCAGCTGTGGCTGAGGCCTCAGGTTCAGCGGGTGGACTGTCCACACCCCGTTGGCAGTGCATTGAAGAAGGCAGAGCGTGAGCATGTCCGAGTCCCTCTCGCTTTACCTAGATTATGGCCCAGCAGTTCTCACGCTCAGGATTTTTGTTTTATCCTGAAGAGGGAAGGCCAGGGAAACCGGTTTTGGAATCAGAACTCAACGAAGGCCCGGCTTTGCCGCTTAGTAGTTACATGACTTGGACCCAAAGGTTAACCCTGCCAAAGCCTTAGTTTCATCATCCACAAAATAGGGAGAGTCACCTGCTCTACCAAATGAAATGTGTGCATATATGTAAATTAGACAATCCTTTATAAATGAGAACGATTATCTTTAGTGTTTAGCCTCTCCCATACCTTTCAAGCTTTTCTGGGTTATGTTATTCAGTTATCCCTTGAGGCCTACTAGTCCCACGTGACAGAAAAAAGATGGGGATTCTAGTACCAAGTCCTGAAGCCCATGCACGAGAAAGCCGAGGTTAGTCCCGCGGAAGCTCCTTGCCTCGGGCCATCAGTCCCTCGGTCCTTCCTGGGCGACAGGGCCTGGCTTCGCAGTCCCCAGCGTGTTACTTACTCAGGAGGGGCGCGGGCAGCGGGAAGAACGCCCCGTACTTCTTGTTAAACCCACGTGCTAGGTCCTGAACTAGTTCCAAGTGCTGGGCTTGGTCCTCCCCGACAGGAACGTGCGTGGACCTTTAACGGAAGACAGACAGGAAAACTCTGCAAGGCTCCCGCTTAAACGGAAATGACATCGCGAGCAGCTGCATTTTCTGTGCCTGTTTCACTGGCGGCGTTTGACACACAAACGTTCGCCCACTACAGAGACAATACTGAGAGACCCATGTCCTCGTCCGTGTATCACACAAACGCCCAAGAGACGTTTGTCTGCTCTAGGTCTCTTTCCTCCATAGCAGAAGAGCACAGCCATCATCACCAGCGTGACAGCATCTTGCCAGGAGGGAGGAATGGTATCTTAAATGGCACATGCTCTGAGTATGATTGTATCTTCAAACCACTCCTGGATCCCTCACCGAGTCAGCACATATTAATTACCCTAGCCTTGGCCAGATGCTTTTTACTTCAGAGCTCATGCTCACACTCAAAAGACACCCCACCCCACCCCTCAAATCAAACATAACAGACAGCGCTTCAGGCAAGTTTTCCTCCCTGGCACACTGGGGAGTAACTCTAGATCTTTCCGGAATATGCTTTGTTTTCAAGTTAATTGCAATCACAGGACAATATTAATATGCCGCAGGGGATGAAAAATTAATGAATGGAATCTATGGGTACAATGTAGATGGATCTCAGAAACAATGCTGAATGAAAACAGCAAGTCGCAGAAGACATGTAGAATACACTGACATTTATGTGACTCTTCAGGGTACATATGAAAATACTATACATTGTTTACAGATGCATACATGAGTATTAAAACATACTGGAAGCTCGTCCACAAATTCGAGATCGTAGCTGCCTCTAGAGAAGGAGGGAAAAGAACAGGGCTGAGGAGAGATACAAAGAAGACCTAAATTTTCATTTCATTAGAAAATGAAGACGTAAAACAAAAATTATCAGAGTGTAGGGACTGTACTGACAATTATTTAAATCCCGTACATAAAGTCTGCAGTGTTGGATCACGGTGAGGTATGTCAGACAAGGGAAGAATTAACCATCGTAGAGAAGTCTTAATGGGGAAAACTTTACACTGAAGTATTACTGGGCAGGGAGACTAGTGGTTTTAAGTCTGTAAGGCGTGGCTGGGGTGTTTGCATTTGATAATACAGTTAATAAAGCGCCGTTGTTTCTTGTTCGATGAAGTTTAATATTCCCCCTGCGAAAGCAGCAACCTTAAAGTGAACTTGAATATTTAACTAATCGTACATTTTGAGTGGAAAAATAACAGATTTTCGAAACAGCCACAGCAAGGGAAGACTGCTAGGAAGTTATGGTGCTTTGTTATAGAGAGGAGAACCTCGCAGCCCCTTGGTTAAGTAGTGATTCTTGAAAAACTGGCAGAGGTTTCTCATTTTCCTTGTGAATTACTGTCCACAGGCTACTGGCTGGTTTAACTCAGTTGTCTAGAGCATGAGGAAGTGAAGGTAGTTTCCGCTAGCATAAACACTAGCTACTCTAAGAAAGTAAATTATGTGAGGACATTTTGAAATATTTTGAAATATCCCTCATAATTTTGCAATTACTTTTATTTCTGCGAATTACTTTCCAGTCTTTGTTCTTATCTATATGGATGCATATTTTTACATAACTGCAGTTATAATAGGCATACCATCTATTATGTTAATGGGCATTTATCATGTTTCTATGTGGTCTTCATTAATAGAATTTTTACTAGATGCATAACGTTCCTATCCTACAGTTACAGAACCATGAAGAACTTATATTATTCTGTGGCAGATTCTTTTCAATATTCATATAGGGGGAAATTTTGATTCAAGTGAAATAAAGTTATATGTTACAAGAACTCAAAGTCCTATGGAGAAAGATCTCGTAAATGAAAGCTGAAAACTTCCTGGTCAAAAACAAGGTATGACTCTGTATCATAAAATAATTCTGAATCTATTTCCAAAAGAAGAGCTGATAAATGTTTTGAACATTGGAATAAGCGATTGGTGTCAAAGCAACTCTGATACTCTTGCATGGAAGTCACCGATTTTACTTATTCAAAAAATCCACAAACATCAGTTGTGTTTTCATACAGGCCCTCATATACTCTTATAGCTGTCCTGTGTGTGCGTCTGTGTGTGGGTGTGTACGTGTGTGCATGGGTGCGTGTGTGATTCAGTGGAGCACTCGATTAACAGCACAGGCTTTGGGGTCAGGCCACCTTCAAACCCTGACTCTGCCATTCTCATCGTGTGTAATTTCGGGTAAGTCATAGAATTTCTATCATTGGCAACTTTCTTACTATAAAGTGGGAGTGATAACATTTACCCCATGCTATTGTTGTGGCCATTACACGAGACAATGCACGTGAAGGGCTCAGCACAGTGCCTGAGGTTTGGTAAGCCTTCAAATAACAGTAGATATGTAGGGAACAAAATTTTTAAGTAGTATATATGTACTGTACTTCAGAAAGCTGCTCGGGACATACTCCTTATCCATCCAGAGAGTCACTCATGACCCGACTCCGATTCCGACTTCTCTCCAGCTTGATCAGAAATAGGGATAGTTTGTGGCGGGGAGGGGCGCCCAGAGTCATCTTGCATATTTAGCGAAGTGGATAATCAAGTCCTGATAGAATATTTATTCACGTATGTGTAAATTTTCACAGGAGCGCAAACAAAAAATAGAATCGACACAGAGCAATGTGTTGGCGTATTTTTCTCCTTTTGTCCCCTACATCTTGACATTTCTAAAAACATGGTCTTGGCGCTCTAGTTCTCCCCATCACTGGAGAGGATGCACATGTCCCTTCTCTTCGAGGGCTCTGCCTCGAGCTCTGCCATCTCTCTGGAGGCTTAGGGCTGCATCTCTGCTTTCCTACTACATATTAGCGTTGACTATCCCACGCTGACTCCCAAACTCAACACTGAAGAATCAACATTCCAGGTTTGAAATGATATCAGCATTGTGGTCCAAGATAAGCTGTCTGAACGTCTTATTAGAATACCCACGAAGATGGAGGAAATACGAGTAACTGAAAACAAGCACCAAGAGTTAAAACTAAAGACTGAACTTGAGATGACCAACAGAACCGAACTGAAAAGAGCGGCCGGCCGAGTTTCCTGGGGTGGACAGGTTCTTGGGTTAACAATGCTGGGCTGAGATGGACTGGGCGGATGCCGCCATTGCTGGAATCCTAACCTGCTGGAGATGAGGGAGACGTCCCTCCACGGCAGCTGGACTGACAGCCACCCTTTCCTCTTCGGCAGCCTGATTCTTTCTGCATTCGGTCACGGAACCCGCTCTCAGAAACTAACCCTACAAGCAGTGGAGGCAGCAGGACCTGGCCACGCGCACTGCGTCCTCGCAAGAATGAGACTGTGAGCGCCATCGGAGCAGACCTTGCTTGTCTTGGCCATTGCTCTACCCCAGGACACAGAACATTCTGGACGGGGATGGGCAGCACTCAAGGAACATTTGTGGAATGAAAGAAATAAAAAGAGCTGACGGTGAGAGACCAGAGCAGGGTGAGACTTGGAGCAGTGGACCCCGGAGAGCTTGTGGTCTGGTTTCCTGGTCCAGTTGCTCCAAAGTGTTCCCATTTGGGTGAGCTTTGTTTAGTTCGAAGATGACCACCACTAGAATGAAAACCGGAAAGTACACCTTCCGAATCGCTGGCGTAGATAAAAGCAAAGAGTCTCCACAGCAAAAGACAGAAAACAATCATAAGAAACAGGCAACATTTAATGACGTGGAAAAACACAAGACAAAAAACCAGGATACAAGTTTTTTTTTTGGAAAATACATATAATACGTATCACGTAAAGGAGAGGCCAGAGAGATTAGAGCAGGGGGACTCTGGTGTCAGGCCATCCTGGGGCCTCTGCTGCTTCCCAGCTGCGTGTTCCTGGGCAAGTCATTTAACCTCCTTCCATCGTTTTGTTTGTTTGTTTGTTTGTTTCTCTCTTTCACTTTTAAAACTGACAACTAATAGTTCCTACCCATGGGGTTCTTTGAGGAGTAAAATGATGCATGCAAAGCTCACAGACCCGTGCCCGGCACAGAGTGTGTAAACGAGAGATGTCAGCTTAAAAAACTGGTTTGAAGGAAATGCATGGACATGTTATGAGGGACAGAAATAGTAGCTGTGATTTTTAATTTTTTCCCCGTTGACTAAAGAATGTTTAAACTCTATTAGAACATCGAAATGAACCTGTGAGAGGCAGCGGACTCCCCTGCTACTGAGCCCTGTAAAGACAGAAAATAAAATCCTGCATCCTGCATAGTTTATAATTCAAATGTCTAAGGCAGGGAACTAGATCTGTTGAACATACTGCTCTTCTATGCGGCTAGAATGTTCCTCCCTTAACTCCTGCAGGCTGGCTCCTTTATTTCAGGTCTAAGCTTAAATATCACCTCCTCAGAGAAGCCTTCCTTAACTACACCCTCCGAAGTCGGTTTCCCTCTCATTCTTTTTCACAGTATCCTATTCATTGTCTTTGTAGTATTAATCCCAATCTAATGATTTTATTTCATTTCTTTGTTTACTTAATTGTATATTGTTTTCTCTCTTGCTAGAAAATAAGCTTCTTGAGAGCTCATCTGTCTTGCTTTTCAATGTATTTCCAACACCCAGTAGAGTTGCCTCATATGTACGAAGAGCTCAGAGGATACTTATTAGATGAATGAATGATCTTAAGAGGAAGTCACTACAATCGATACCAAGTCACCGTAGTTTTATATTAAGATAAAAATTATAATAAAATCAGTTCGTGAGAAGTATAGAAGATGAAACCATGGACTCAGAAGAGAGACAACCTGAGTTTAAATCACAGCTCCACTAGCTAGTAGGCATATTGCAGCCAAGTTTCTTACCTTTCCTAAGCCTCTGTTTCCTCTGTAAAATGGAGAACATAATGGTGCCTACCTCATAAAGTTGTTCAAGGATGAAATGAGATAACCAAGCATAGTGCTTGATAGCAAGAGCTCGATAAACACTAGATAAATAAATATTTATCAATATCTGACATGATGAGAGACAAGGTGGTTAAAGAAAGCTAGAGACCCTG